TGAAATTGAATCGTTTTAAAAGCACAAAAACAGAGCACAGCAAGCAGAAGACACAGGGAGGAAGCAGGAGGGGAACGGAGCAGCTGGAGAGCGCAAGGCAGGGTAACGAAAGAGAGGTTGGAAGAGTACACAACCGAGGCCCATAACCTATTAAAGGTATATGTCCAGTACAGTGTAATGTGTGTGGACAAGGCGATTGTCACAGAGGTATCCAACCAGTCGAAGTGTACACGAGAACATGGATTGAAGCAAGGCGAAGGAACAAGACAGAACAAGACAGAAGGAGGGAAGTGGAACGACCGAGGTCAAGAAGGAAAATGGTACCGATCCAGGGAGATCGCTCCCATTTATAGCAGGTGGAAACACACACACACAGTGGAGACAGAGAATGGACTATCACACTGAAGACAGGTGGAAGCGATATCAGCAATCTGTTGGGACCAACAGATGCCACAACAAGATGATACACCAAGATGGTACAGCAAGATGTTACACAACAAGGTGGGACAACATCAAGTACCAGAGGACACACAACGTGGTAAAGTATACCGTCTCAGATTGTGCCTCTAATACGCTCGCACGCCTGGTACGCTGGTCCCGGCCGCGCCTTCAGGTCTCAAATCACCTGCACCGCACTCAGCAATACGCTTTTTCGAAACGCAATCATCAAGGCTCTCAAAGAGCACCCTATTCCCAACGTCAAGCCTCCACAGTCCAGCACTCTGCAACGACTTGCCGAGCACCTGCATGAAAAGCACTGGACACGATTCCCGAATGCCAAGTCAATTAAACAGATTCGATCGATTGGGGCCGCTAAGCTCAAGCCGTTTCATGAACAAACCTGGTTCGTCTTCGAACGCGTCAATGAGGAGATCCGGTATGACCCGCCGAGTAACGCAGCCTTGGCTACGCCTCGTCTGCGAACCGGCGCACGTAGACGCGCCAGTTCCCGCGCTCCTGCAAATGGTGAGCCTGCGTCATCAACGACATCCCCTTCTGAACCCATCACCGGCCCAGGGTCCTCCGCTAATGTGGAGGACAGCGCTGAGACATCAGATCCACCATTGCACCCTGAAGCAACATCAGACATCATGCCCTCATCACAACCGCAGCCGTCACCACAACAGCAACAACAGCAGCCACTCCATGATGGTGCTCAAGCTGAGCCCGAGCCTGGGGACGCTTCCCCCATGCAGCTTCTGTAGGTACTCGCCTTCAAGAAGATGACCTTGCTTGGCTTAAAATGGTCTCATTTTCCAGTCACAACGCATGCTCACCTGTTCACAATCTTGCCTCTATTTGTATGTCTTCACGAATTGCAGGATGGCCTTTCACGAGCACCAAGTGCAGACCAATCGAACCCTTGACTTTGAGCTATGCCACCATGCCCGGTTACCATGTGCGGGCAGCTATCGCACCCCGCTGGCCTCCCTGTATCTGCTGGAGGGCGCACAAATACTCTACTGGAACCCCCTCGTGGCACCGACACCACTAAATTGTCACGAATGTGGTACCCAGCTATCAGCCTTGCCAGCATCGTGTCCTCGGAGTGCCAACTGGTCCAAGTTGTTCCCCATCGAACACGAGGGCGCAGAGCCACGATTTGCCTCCTTTCGCGTCGTTCGCTGCCCAAACGATGATTGTGCCCTGCGCTTGAAGAAGAAAGGGCAAAAGTCTGCCCAATCCTTTCACTCCGGCCTGGAAGCCGTGCTCGAGGCCATGCCTACCTCATTGGCATCCATGTTTGAGCTCCACATCGGCTCGCGCAACCCAAAGGCATTCTATAGCATGCCATTCTACACCCGCGTCTTTGAGTCGCTTTGTGGAAGTACCACCTTGCTCTCGTTAGAGGAGGAGTGCAATCGGCAAGCCAGCGTGCGAATGACTTTGCTTGACACATGCTATTGCTCCCACGTGCTCGAATTTCGGAAGCGCGCCGTCCAAGTCACCGATATAGCTGATGTCAATATCCCAGGGCTGCCATCCAAACGCCCTTTTCCGAAGCCTCGTGAAGTGGTGGCAAATCTCAAGGTGGAGCCTCTCGCGGCAGTGCACGAACGTTGGAAAGACGACAAAAACCACTATCAGATGTTCACCAGTACTTATCGGCGGACGCTTGGGCGGCTTCGTACAACCTTGGGCGACCAGATCATGCCTCAGCTTCTACAAAGCAGTGCAATCATGCTGGCCTCTTCAGCAGATGTGCTGGCCATGGATCACACCTTCAAGCTCTTGAAACATGTTCGTGGCACGGGCTACAACGCTGTCGCCACAATCCGGAGCAACACATCAGGGGCAGCACTAGCTGTGATGGTACCCACCACTGCAATCGGTCACCTTTCTCATACTTTGAGCGGCATATCACACCTGCAACAGGCACTTTCAAAAAAGGCGTTGCAGCAACTGAAAGTCAAAATCGACTCGGAAACCGTCCTTTTCGAGCACTTGAACGCTGATGAGCGTTTTGCCTTTGAGCTCCTTGCTCACTACGGCATCACGCAATCTTCAAAAGAAGGCCGTTTGTCGTGGAGGCCATCGGCGCCGCAGGATTGGATTGAACAACTCGCCGCGCCAGACAGCCAAGCCATCTACGTGGACAATTGCTGTACCGTGCGCGAACAATTACTCGCTGCTCTGCCTTCTTTGGCCCGACAGTTTCAAACCCCTCAAGACGCGCGACAATATGAGCCAGTGAGCAGCCGAATTGTGCACATCAGAGTCTTGGAGAGCGAACGCCTGCGCACTGCCTCTGGAGCATCGCCAGAAGCTCGGGACGAGGCTGGCCAAGAAACTACTCAAATGCCAGCAGAAGAGTCGACTAGCATGACAGACGAAACCGACTCGGAGGATCAATTCCTCGCCAGTCAAGCTGGCTCACGTTCCTTCCGTAAAACGAGCAAAGCATTCACACCTGCACTGGCTTTCCGGCATTCTGCAGAGTGGGCCCCCCCTACACAATTTTATGGAGGCGAGAAAGAATATGAGACGCTGTATGCAATTCTGAACGAGCCCTTTGTCATTGACGCGTATGGTGACACACAGAGCAATGGCTTGGTGGCATTGACCATCGCAGGCCGCCTGCCTGAAAATCATGGCAATGTCGTCGTTGTTCTAGACACATTTGGGGTGGCATCCAAGGATTTCGAGGCCATTCCCATTCTCAAGGCAATCAAGGCAGCTGCGCAGGACCCGCAGTCTCGCATCTTCAGCTGTCGCACTGCCCGAACGGCAGACCTGATGGCACAAGTGGAAGTGAGCTTCCGACACCTCCAAAAAGCCGATGAGCTGGCTATGGCGAAGCTCAAATTGGTGCGCCCTGCAAACACGAACCACAAGGCGTGGATCAGAAAGCTGGCCAATGCCGCGCTTGAGCAGCTGTTTGGCTCCTCGCATTTACAACTGCCATATTCTCGTGACTTTGACAGGCAAGAGTCTGACCACCTCAGCGTAGCACGACGCCGTGCCTTGGCAGCGAAAGCGACCCTGCACCACATCATCGCCCATGTGGCAAGCGAAGGCTCAGTGCAGCTTGATGTGGATGACATCAAAACCCGGCTTGATCAGCAACAAAATGAGGATGACCGCGCCCCACCACAACAAATGATGGCTTCTTCAGGTGTCTTGTTGGATGTCTTTCATGTGGTACGTACCTTTAACTGTGTGGGCCACACTTCCTCTTCACTTTGGCACATGCTCAGTCAATGGTCAAAATCTTGTTGAGGCTCGCAGATGGACCGCCTATCTCGCACGCTGTCCTCGCGGCATCGCTATTTCAGAGCCGCAAACGCTCTGCTTAGCCCCGTCTTCTTCCAGACAGATCCACTGACGGCTTCAAAATATCAAGAGTGGTTGCAGAACAGTCAAGAGATGGACAACGAAAGCACCCTGCGATTTGCTTGTCAGGTCAGCAACTGTTGCCACTCCTTGCCTGAAGACGCATGCTGTGCCGTCGTTCGAGCCAATCTCATCAATTATTTTTGCATGGTCCCTCACAGACTGGGAGCAGCTCAGGAGCCGTTGTGCGCAAGCTGCGAGGGCCTGTCGATCTGTCGAACCGCTTACTGGGCTGGGCAGAATGGGTTAATGCCTGTCCTGAAGACAAGAATCAGAGCTTGGTTGAGCCGTGGAGTGAAAGTGGTGGCTTGAACAAGTGCGTCGAGGATATTATTGATGCTCACGTCAAGACGGGTTGCCTATCTGACCCAGATGTACTGTTGGAAAAGTTGTACCGGAAGCTGCCTGAGACGGCTTCCAAGCGCCCTCGCTTCAGGTGCGCGCGAGGCTCAAGTGGCAACGAAAGTCTTCATCAACGCCTGGCCGCAGCCATTCCCATTGGCACACGTGATCCAAGTGCAGCCGGGGCACTCGTCGCTGTCCTTTTTCGCATCGCCTATGATGCTGGTATCGAAGCAGGCCTGTACACGAATGAGGGCCATCACTACGTTGCTCTCAGCGCACGACGCAACGAAATTTATCGCAGGTTATTCAAGGATCAACCGGACCCAGCACGTCTTCCACCCTGGGATGTCACCATGCCCGTGCCCCTGGAGCTTTTCCACCCTATGCAGCCAACTCTTGGAGCTACAACAGGTCTGTAATTTCTCGTGGCCCCTCATCATCTCCACGCGCGTACTGCCCTGCCCTTTGTAATCCTAGCTGTACGCAGGTGAATTGAAGCGCTGCACAACATCGGGATTTACAGACAAGCTTCACATTTTGTATTTGCGCCGCTTAAAAAAACGTCATCCTCGCCGGTCTGTTCGGTGGCTCACGCATCGTATGAACCATGTTTTTCTCCCGCTCGGTGCACATTACTTTGCAATAGATCAAGTCAAGGACGTAAATTTGGGCATAGATCAACAGGAGTATGAGATGGCAATGCAGCAATTCCAGGACACTTGTTCCAGGATTGCTGATGCAAGATTGCGACGCAATGGCGAGTCGCCGCAGCAACCCATGCCCGTGCCACGTACGCCGGTCTCGCACGCGGAGGCGTCGTGCCAATCGGCAGCTGCACATTCAAAAGACAACCATCGTTCAGGTTGTCTCGGGTGTGGATG